AACCACAAAGGAATTAGCTAATGAATGCTAATTTTAAATTTTGTAGTATTATTTGTGAATATCTCTACAGTAGCTGGAGTAGATAACGCAATTTAGACTTAAAAATGCCATGAAAATCTAGAAAGCTGCTGCACTGCATACAGGTCATTGAAACAAACAAGGACTGTGTGGAAAAAGTGAATAGACAATGGCAGGGTCATTTCAATGCCACTGTGAGATTTTACTTTTGATTTTAACTCTGCCATCTTTCTGAGAGGGAGCATGGATGCAAGCAGGAAGAGCTTCTTGGTTTAGTGAGCACGGTTGGGATGGGCTGATGGTTAGACTAGATCATTTAATTCCTTTTTTCCTCTAACACCTCTCCTTTCTTCACCACCTGCTTCCTTCTGTTGCAGCTATGAATCCCATTCACCAGGGAAAATCTGCTCTCCAGGCACCAAGGTTGTTTTCAGCTCCTTGTGTCCAGAACTTGCTCACACTAGTCTCTTCAACTCCTGATGAATTTCTGGAGACTCCTCATGGTGATGCCTATTGTACTCTTTTTACCAATCAGGTGAAGCCTAACATGATTGTATTTATGGCTTGAAACTTAACCCATCATTTGCACTGGAGATGTATATATGAAGTCTTTCTCTTGTTTACAAGCAAGTCAATTGTGTTAACTAAACTGGTGAAGTACGTAACATTAGCATCTGCTAATGCATGCTTTGTTTCTTTCTCTTTTTTATTATAAATTAATTTTAATTCTATTGCTCATGGTATTTAGTTGTAATTTAAGATGTTTCAGCCATGAGGCAAAATTGAGCATGGTGAAAACAAATCTTACCATACAGTTACTGGCTACTATCTACAAGGTTATTATTACAGAGCTCCAGTGAAAGGAAACCACTTTGTCTGATGCACTGAAGACATTAGAGACAGGAGGTTAATTATGTTGGATTGCCTTTTCGAGTAGAATTTAACTTCAGTGGGAAGAGAGGTGTTTCAGCCGATGTTGCTAATATTGATGTGAGGGAGTATCTGGGAAGGAAGGCATGTTGACCAATGAGTGCACTAAAAAAGCAAATGAGCTTGATCTTGGCTTGGAGATTATTAAGGGAATTGAGAAATCATTAAATCTAAAAATGGGACCTAATGGAAGTTGATGAGAAAACAACTGTGGATGTTTAACGAGCACTGCATCACATTTCCATCTCTTCAGAAATAAGAAATGAAATATTTGAATTTCTTTTTGAGGAACAGGAAATAGTATATGAAAATAGCATAGGGAAAAATAATCCTTTGTCCATCCTCTCGGTAAGTGATTTCTACAAGCCTTAATTAATTACCAGAGTTACTTGTGGAACAAGCTTATGCAAAACTATGGCACCATAAAATGTCTGTTTGATAGTTAGCCCCAAAATGCATCTAGATTATCTTGAAACTCTGAGACGTATTAAAAAATTGCCAGCATAATTTCATTTTTCTGAAGAGGTTGCAGATGGAATTATACCCTTTACCCTTAAGAGAGAAATAGCAATATATTTATTGATATAATATGGTGATTTAACAAAACTTTATTATAAACAAGACAAGTTTAATAAGATTTGAGATAGCAGGGTGCACCTGTTTATTTACTAAAGCATCAAGGAACATTTAATTATAAATTACATAAAGAGCATAACATAGAAGACATTATGTACTATACAAAAGTAGAAAGAAAACCCATTCAGACAGCATTACACCAAGGACAGCCTTTGGAACTGATGACATTATACTGAGAATAGTCTCCTGTTGAGTCTCAAGGGTTTGGAATGGAGTTCCTTTTGCCTTCTGGACTCTGGGGAGTCTAGAAGCTACTGAATCCTGTTCCATTCCTGGACTTAAGAATGAACCCCCTGCTTTTTCCAGATCCCTCCACAGAGGACGCTGGATGCAGCCAAATCCACCCTCAGTCTCAAATTTTCCCCAGCCTTGGTCAGTGCTTTGCTTAGCTAGGTTTTCCCACTAAAACATCATTAGCAAATTACTTGCAAATTGTCAAGAAGCTAGGTATTAATCACCTGCCAAAGATCTTTTATAGCAAGAGATTTCTTACTTGGTAGACCCACCTTTCTGAGCATCTCTCAAGAGGAGGTCCTATTGCGCATCTCACTTCCATGCAGGAAGAGTTTACAAGTCTCTTGGGCTGTTTACTATTTGTGGAGCAAGATAACTGACTCATAGCCGTATTGCATATGGACTGCAGTTTTGAGCTAGAAGTGAAGGGGAACACGCTGTCAGAATAACACTGCATGAAAACAAATATACACCAAAACTAGTTAGCAATCTTATTTAAGATCAGTGTCTTGTTCTGCTGCTATAATATACTTCCTAACTTTCAGGTAGTTTCATGTAAGAACAGATATGCTGTTGCTTCACTTTTCTGTCTTTATACTAGAAAGTAAAAAACTGGATCCACACATCCACAACAAGTGGGAGAGCAAGGTGGCAATGAGGTTGCAGTGGAGACACAAGGGCAGTTGCACCACGTAGCCTTTTGCACCCAGCTTACCTGAGGAGCTATGCTACCTATATTTCCTGTTTCCAATGGGAGCAGAGACCAGCTTCAGCAACTGGCTATCCATGTTACACTTGCTCTAGAAGACCCTGGCCATCTTGAAAACTACCAAGGATTAGTCTAGTTATGGATCTGAGCTGGCTGCGCAAGATTGGATTGGATGAATGCTTTCCTTCCATGGGATTGTAAAGATTTGAAGACTAGAAAGGATCTATAGAGATCTGCATGGCTGGCTTTGGCTTTTCATGCTTTTTCTATCTGCAGGAAAGCATGAAACAGTTTGGAGTTTTGAAAAATAACGCCCACATCAGCTCTTCAAAATACATCTGTCTCTCATAGCGCTCTCAGGCAGAAGCATTACATGATGAAATACCTATTTTTTTTTTTTTTTTTTTTGTTGTTGTTGTTTTAATTTGAATTTTAATTTTTCTTTAAAACTCCAAAATGTCTTTTGGATGAGATTGTTCCTATTTCCTCCTTGGCATCATGACAGTTCATGTGATGTGACACTTATATACTCTGCAGAAGGGCAGTTGTAGGTACAACTGTGCTTTTAAAAAGGTGCAGAGCTGCAGTTCTCTCCCTGAGAAATATGAATTTAGGTATAAGAGGGGGATGGAAGAATCTGTCTTGGGCATTTTTTTTCTGTACAATGTGACTATAATTAATCCAACAAAGCCTAATTTTTAGGGAGCTTTTTTGTGCTTGTAATTTCTTTGCCTCCAACCTTAGCTAAAGAACAGTGAAGCTGGGAAGTGACTGGTGCTGAAAAGCCAGTAGGATGCCAGGTGATTTCTGCCTCAGCCAGCTACATTTGATCCTACACCCCAATGTCATTGGGAGAATCTGACTGTAGAGTTCCAATTGAGTTAATGAAGTCTGGGATTTTGGTAGAATTTCTTTTGTTTTGTGCTGAAGTGAGGCATCTGGGACTCTCCCCTGGATAAAAATACTGGATACGTTGGCTATCCTGAACTCCAGAAGCGTGAAAAACGTTTTCCTAAAGCATCTAAAAATGAGTTGTGCCTGGTTAATGCTCTATTGCTAGCTTTTCAGCTCTGTTCCATCACTCCTCACTTCTGTTAACATTTTTTAACCTGTGCTTTATGTTTTCTGTAAGACACAGGTATGCCAAAGCTATTATGAAGCAGGCAACCGTACTGGTGAGTGTGCGAGTAACAATCAAATGAGGCTGAATGTAATCACCTACAAATTCCAACAAAGATTTTTGCTTTTAAAGGAATGTTTCACATTTGGGGTGTATTTGGTATGCATACTTTCACACTCACCAGAAAATAGTAGCCCTTGTAAGAATGAGATGTCCTGGTTTGTATGAATTAAATTTTGCTCCTATCTCAAAGAGCAACTGCTTAAGCTTTACTTTGTGCTTATATAGTCTCCACTTTTCTCTCATATATTTGAGTTCTTTGGAGTGCTGAAAACATGCGTTGTTTCAAATCAGCTTTGCAGTTACGGCTGCCCTTTTGAATGGATGAGAAACTATTGTCTTCAAGGGGAGTGAACAAAAGTAGTTTTTCTCAGTGTTTCTGAAGCTTTGTCATGGCTCTGCTTCAGGTGGTGCTCTCCCAGATGGTACCTTATCCAGGCTGTGTTGTGTCAGCACAGCGCTTGGTTCTGCAGGCCTACAAGAAACTTGTGTGCATTTACTGGGTTATTTAGTGCTTGTTAATATCAGGAGTGATTCCAAGAGCTCCGTAAATGTTGAAGAGAAAGCCACCTAAGAGTTAAAAAAACAAAACCAAACCAAACCCAAAAAACAGCTTTTAACAGTATCAGTATGTATTTTCAATATTCTGCAGGAGGCTTACATTCCAGTAGCATAAGATACTATTTTTATCATATCATAGAGTCATAGAATATCCTGGGTTGAAAAGGACCACAATGATCATCTGGTTCCAACCCTCTGCTCTTTGCAGGGTCGCCAACCAGCAGACCAGGCTGCCCAGAGCCACATCCAGCCTGGCCTTGAATGCCTCCAGGGATGGGCATCCACAGCCTCCTTGGGCAACCTGTTCCAGTGCCTCACCACCCTCTGGGTGAAAAACTTCCTCCTAAAAGCATTTCCAAAGTCTCTGAGAAAGCACTCTATTACTAATTCCTGGTCAGATAAGAGTTATGCACGTCCCCCCAAAATATGTTTGTTTTTTTCTCACACGAGAGCCACATATTTCCTGAGGAGTGGATTTGGGGCTCCCAGAGTGAAGCGATGCTGTCTGTACGGTTCCAGGAAGCAATAAGCACCTACATGAAAATAACTCAAGTCCCCATCCTTAATCCCTGCCTATCCTTTTTATCTGATGGACTCAGTGAGGGCTGGAAGATCACAGCGTGGCTGAAAACGAAAGGGAGTTAACAAGATGTGACCAGTCAATGGCTAAAACAATAGGCGAGACCTTGCACGTTGCCTCCTGCCCAGGTGTCCTTCCATGCACAGGTAGCCATGTGGATCACCGTGAGTTTGCTCTGCTGCTTGGTGCTCGGGGGGCTGCCGTGGGCAGGCACCTCGTGCCCCTCGCAGTGCAGCTGTGCCTTCCACAGCCTCAACGAAGGGACGAAAGCCAGGTATGCCGATACTTGCGTGGGGCTGGGGGTTTTCTTTCTTCTCTCTAAGGATGCTTTCAGAAGAAAACGTTGTGTCTAGGCTTCATGTCTTTTATTTTTCCAGTTGCTCTGCTCTCCGGCTTTATTTGCAGAGGATTAGCTTCTGAAAACACAGTAAGCTGATTTCAGAGAAAGCGTTTGGGCATCTTCTCTGTGAGAACAGCAACATAATTACTGCTGGGGCAATGGCAAAAGGAATACAATTAAAATGTTTTTTTCTTTTTGCCTTCATGCTGAATATACCGGTTTTATTCTGTCCTGTTGGTCTGTTTCTGAAGTGTAAACTGATTTATTTTGTGGTATCAAAGCTTTCAATCCATTCTGCTTGCTTAAACAATCCTTGGGTTGGAGATTTTAGGCGAAGTAATAGACTCTGGATAACGATAAATAAAAAAAGTAAACAATAAAAATAAAATAAGACAATTCTCAGGCTGGCAACTTTCAGTTGGAAAGGCAGGTAACGCTGTAAGGTTATCCACTGTGGGAAGCAGCACCATTATACAGAGATCTCACTGGAGTACCACAATAAGAAACAAAGTCGTTCTGAAGGGTTATCAGAAATTAACGATCTGACCTAATGAAATACAGACTACATTTTTATCAGATCTGATTCACAGTAGAGGAGGTTTCTGGCAGAGAGTATCTGAATAACTCCTTTAGAAGAAGTGTTTTTTCTAGACAAGATGACGGTACAGCACTGAAAGGCTGTCCTCTGTGTTTGGATCACCATCAAGTGCATCTGCTTCATCTCTTTTATGGCGGCATTGTTTTAAAACCAGAAACTGTCCCAATGAGAAAGGTGGCAGAGCCACAAATAGTGTAGAATTTTTTAAAGGCAGCACAATAGCAGGAGAGCCTATAATTGCTCTGTAAGTGTCATAATTCCTGGTAGAATTTCCTTATAGAGACTGGAAAAAGCTGCAGTGTGTTTTGGTAAGATGCATAATAAAGCAATGCTCGTTATTCTCTTAATGAGCATGATGTCACATTTTTCTGCACTAAGATTTGTATTTTTCACTAGTAGAAGGGAGATTATCCTGTAGATTTACTGTTTAGTGCTTAGCAACATAGTTTAGGGACACTATGAGAAGCATCAGAGTACAGTTTTGCTGTGATAATATCTCTGCTAGCGAATATTTTGTGTCATGTTTACACAAAACCAAATGTTTTATTGAGAGATGATCTCTGAATTTTTGTTATTTGACATATTTCTTTTCTTCCACAAAATCTCAACCCAGGACTTAATGCCAGCATAGAAGTGCTGGATGACAGAAATATATAGGGTTTTTTTTTTTTTTTTTTGTTATAAATTAATTGGAGGCTCTAATAATATTTAACTTCAGGAAAACTACTTGAGCAGTTCAGCCGTGTTATTTATTGTTGCAGACAGTAGAGGAATAGTTGCTTTCAGCCAATGTCAGTCTGGTTTTGGCAGCTTTGTAATTTCCTATTTATCAATCAGGCAGTATGATAAGAAAATGGTACTTGACTGATCACATTACATTACTTGAGTTATTTGGTTTAGCATGTGGAGTGGGACATGCCAATGTAATGTGCTCTGTTTTCTGAGGTGGCTTTGCACTTTATTAAGAACTTGCCTTTTTTTCTCCTCTTGGCAAAGACAAAGTTACAGTTTTTTTTTTTTTTTTTGTTTTTTTTTTTTTTTTTTTTTTTTAATACAAAGACTGCAAAACGCTGCATGGGGTTTTCAGATTTGAACTCCAGGAATTAGAAATAGAAAGGAGTGATTTAGACACATGAATCTGCCTTGCTTTCAGTAAAACATTTTCTAAAGTGTTAGTTCTGTACTTTTGCTCTCATAAATGGTATATCTCTGTGGTGAAGTGCCCATTGCATCCCTACAGACCTTCCAGTTTCAAAGTGAAGCAGAGCTTGCTATAGAATATTACTAGTGAGTTGACCTTCTTCTCCTTCCTTCATGAGCAGAGATCCTGTGCTGTATTTGGTCTGTATTACTTTATCCCACCCCAACTTTCATCAAACAATTAAGGCTTCTTTTTACACGACCTTTAATGTTTGCCTTATTGATCCTTTTATTTTAAAGTGCATTAGCATCTTCTGCTGTCTGTCGTAAGGAACATGAGAACCTAAAGAGAAAAAAGCAGGAACACAATATGTGCCAGACTCAGATTCATACCACTCCAGGAAAGTGCAATCTCTGCTGTCAATAAATGTATGTATGTGTGAATTAGTGCAAGCCAAATGTACTTAAGGTGATGTGGAAATCAGCAGCAAGAAAGAAATGACAAGAATGAAGCTTTTGAAAAAAGAAAGGCAGATAAAATATTGTACTAAAATTCTCAAAATGTCTCAAGTATATATCTTCAAAAATATAAGGGCATTGCATCTGTGTTTCTTTCTCACCAGGACGGTGCTGTGTAATGACCCAGAGATGACCCTCACCCCCGTGAACATCCCTGTAGATACATTCAAGCTTCGAATAGAGAAGACAGCCATCCGCAGGGTGCCAGGGGAAGCTTTCCACGCACTTCACAACCTGGAGTACCTCTGGTTACCTTATAACTCCCTGGCCAGCCTCAGCGGGATCACGTTCAAGGGCCTCCGTCGTTTGCTGGAGCTGAGGCTAGATGGAAATGACTTAATATCATTTCCCTGGGAAACCTTGTCTGACATGCCACAGTTAAGGCTTCTGGATTTACACAACAATGAACTTACCTCAATCCCTCCAGATGCTGCTCGTTACATCAAGAATATCACGTACCTGGACCTTTCTAGCAACAAACTGATGACTCTTCCTCAGGCTCTTATTTCTACCTGGGCCAACCTGCAAGCAGTCCCTTACTTTCCCAATGATAACTCCAAGATCATCCTAGGTAAGAGTGACTGTGATTTTGCAGTAGACAAAATGACAAGAGATCCTGATCTCATTGTAGCATTTTCACTTGCTGTGGTCACTCTGACCTGCGCAGTGCTCATTTCATGCCCTGTATGAAGTGTGCACATTAACTTACACCTTAACCAACTTGCCTTTCCATACCCAGCTTATTACACTCTGACCTTTATCAGATTTGAGTCTTTCTTACGGAAAACAGTTACTCCTCTTCAGGAGCTTTTTATATATGAGCACTGCCACTTTTGTTGAACATATAAGCATGTTTAGAGCTCCACATCTTTCAAGTGTTTCCTACTAACAGCTGGCATGGAGTTGATGAGTTTTAAGCAGCATTAAATAAAAAGATGGATTCTTCTTATGTCCAAGTTAAAAAGGAGTAAACCTGCTGCTGAGTATAAAATCTGGGTCAGAACAGCCAGTTTGTCCTAGTATGTGCCTCTTATGAGTCTCATTTATCTCTCCACATAGAATTAAAACCTTCGTTTCCAAAGAGCCATTAATATAACACTGCCTCCAAGGGTGAGAATCCACTTCTTGGTGGCATTTCTATGCTCCTCAGAAGTATGGTCCAGGTCAATAGTACATTTTTGTGTCAGAGAATATATTACAGACCACTGTCTTAATTACTCCAAATTGTGATATACTCAGAGAAGGTTCTGAGTACACTTATCATGGGATTACTGCTTAGCCTTTTAGCCATAGTACGCTGGTTCAAATCCTCAGCAGGTTGATGATGTTTCAGAGTTGTTGCCATCTGCTGTCTTTATTTGTTATGAACTGACATAGCTCCACTGGCTCTTTGCTCTTTGGGATGTGTGCATCTCCAGGTATTGTGTCTACAACCACGGGTGTGAATTCAGGCACTTGATGGTAATCTAATCGGAAATATTTTCTCTCACTCTGGGAAGTGTTTGGCAAAATCTGCTCTTGTTCTCTGGATAAATTTAGGGGAGATACAATTTTTAAAACCAGCTGTCAGTGGAAAGAGACACTGAACTTTAAAAAGAATCCAATTGCCACATAAATAACTTCTAGTGTTCTTAGCAGGTGTTAAGGTTTGATTAGGAAAGGAGTACGAGGAGTACGTGTTTCCCCATCCTGTTTTGGCAGGTGTGACATCAAGTTCTTCAAGCCCAGTGTTTGGGATTGCCCATTTTGTTTGTGGCAAGATGAGACACTGCTGAGATCGTTTTCTTTTCTTTATTTATTTTTCAGAAGAAAGTTGCCTGTAAAAGCATTCTTCTGTTCAATATGGAATTGCATGTATTGTCAGGAAGAGGTTATTTTTCTGCTCATAGCCAACTTGAGTGTTTGCATAAGCAGCTGCACACAGGTTGCCTGTTCTGAGATTCTGAAAAATTCATGTGAGCAAATGAGTATAGTGCTAGCATTCATATGGTGTACAGGCATGCCACCTCCTAGCTCCTATTCTGCTGACATCCACGGAGAAACTCTTTGCAGAAGCAAAATGAGAGTAGACAGCTGCATGTCTCTATTTTGTTCTGCTGTTTCGTATGTTTCATGTCACTGTTTCATGTGGAAGCACAGAAAAATCCAAGAATGGCAAAGAATTAGCTCAGTCCCTTCCTTTGTCTACACTGCATCATTGTGAATCCTCTTCAGGGATTGCTTGTTCGTTGCTTCAAGAAAAAGTGGTTTCAGCAATAGCTTCCTGGCTGATAGTCTGTGTCAAGACTGCAAGATTCTGAGTGTGAAGATTGCCCATGTGACCTGCCTGTGAAAGAGAAAAAGCAGATCTCAGAGTTAGTAATGTAAAGTGTCATGAAGGATGGCTCTATTGATTATTTAATCTATGATGAGTCTGTGCAGGAACTAAAGCGGCAATGCAAAAAGTTAAAGCTGTTTTTTTTTTTGCCAGAATATCTAGAATAAATTGTAATCTAGTACATGAAGTCAGAAGTAAGAAGATAGCAAAAATGCCATAAAATAACACAGCTGAGATCTTAATTTTCATTCTTTCTTTATTCTCCTTTTTTATATTTTAATTAATAAGTGGTGCACTCCTGCCAAGACTCCCTTTCAAGCCTATGGAGGATGGTGTGCAGTGGTCTCAGTGAGATACTTTTTCAGCCATATTTTTAAAACAGTTCATTTGGGGCATCAGGGTCTTTTGATGCGCTCTGTGTTCCAGCTGACTCTAGCAAATTATTCAAGCAGTCCCTTGATGCTCATGGAGCCTCGTGCTGCACACACTGTGCTTGTGCCAAGTGTTGGCTCTTGCTGAAAAGCCGCAGCTTGCGTGACTGTTGCTGCTGTGCTCCAGGGGCCAGCAGTAGCAGCACTGCTGTGTGGGCAGATGTTTCTGCTTGCTGGGAATCAGGGGATAGTGGTGCTCCTTGCTTTCAGGCTGCTGCCAAGCCCTGAGCCCTGTCCTTGGGCTCCCTGCTGAAAAGAGAGGGTGAAGCCCCTTCGCAGACAAGTCTGGTACACTGAGCTCCTGTCTTAGTCTTCAACCGCATACTTGGATTTAGTTTAAAATCCCCAGTGGCTGTGCTGCTAGCTAAAGCCATTAAAGACCAGAAACTGTTTGTAGGACAGGCAAATGTGAATATTTTTGAGTGAGATGACATACAGATTTAGCAGCAGCTTCTATTCGTGCCTGTGCATTGCTCCAGATCTGATTTTGCTTTTTCAGTACCATCTTCACAAATCTATTTTTAATGGGTAATATCTTTTCTTTTTTCAGAATTCGAGTTCAGTATGCAACACTGACAGAGCAGAAAAGCAGAAAAAGAGAAATGTTCTGGGACAGTGAAGCAGGAGTGTTTTCTTTAATATCTCTCTTCCTATGTGCATATTCTTCATACAGGTGCTGTCTAATGGATGTGTGTGGCCTACTGTAGGCCTGATTGTTAGCCTATAGCTGGCTAATAATTTTAAAGATCACTGGCAAGAAGAATTTCGTAGCCTATGTCTTATTAGGAAAATGAAAACAAATAACCAACTCACTCCCATAACTATTTTTTCTAAAGTATATAACAAACTATTTGTTTTGCTTGATTATACGCATAAATAGTGACGTGTTCTTGGCACAAATTACCTTGCATTGAACTTCATGAGTGTGATTTAATGTCCAGGTTTTGAGATACATGAGCAAACCCGATTTTCTTCCTGCTACTCACCAGTATTGTGAGACACTTCAACCTCAGCCAACAGCAGCAGAGCTATGATCCCCATGCATATCCTTTTTGAGGGGCAGACTGGGAATCAGTTTGTTCTGCTGAAAAACAGGAAACAAAATTGGCAGAAACAAAAATACCATCGGAGTGACTGAGTGCTCTGGTTTCTTTTGACAGGTTTGCAAGACAATCCTTGGGCGTGTGACTGCAGTCTGTATGAAATGGTCCATTTCCTGAATTTCCAGTCTCCCAACATAGCATTCATTGAGCCCAGGCTGAAATGCTTCACCCCTCGCAGCCTTGCAGGAGTCTTCTTCAGCCAAGTTGAGCTAAGGAAGTGTCAAAGCCCTGTTGTACATACGTCTGTAGCCAAAGTAAAGACCATTCTGGGCAGCACTGTGCTACTGCGATGTGGGACAACGGGGGTGCCCATTCCTGAGCTCAGCTGGAGAAGGGCTGACGGTGCTCCACTAAATGGCACAGGTACATTTAAACTTAAGCTTTTTTTTTCCCCAGTGTGGACTGGGTGAGTGAGTCCTATACCATTATTTTCTGTGGGCTGCAAAGCATATGGAAGCTTATATGGAAGTAGCAACTTCCGACCGACAAAAGACCCAAAAAAAGAAATGAGTGCAACATCAGGATTCACTGTAACTCATTATAGAATCATAGAATGGTTTCATTGGAAAGGACCTCAGAGATCACCTAGTTCCAGCTCCTCTACAATGGCGGAGTTGCCAGCCACTAACTCAGGCAATAGATCAGCTCTCCCAGAGTTGCATCATCCAGTCTGGCCTTGAACGCCTCCATGGCTGAGGCATCTACAATCTCTCTGGGCAGCCTGTGCCAGAGCCTCATTTTTTCAGCCTCTCAGTGAAAAATTCCTTCCTGATATCTAATCTAGATCTTCTCTCTTTTAGTTTACAACCATTGCCCCTTGCCTTATCACTATCTACCCATGAACAAAGTCAGTTTATCTCCTGTCTGTAAGCTGTCTTTAAGTACTGGAAGGCCACAGTGAAGTCTTCCTGGAGCCTTCTCTTTGCCAGGCTGGAAAAGTACAGCTCCCTCAGCCTGTCTTCACAGCAGAGATGCTGCAGCCCTCTGAGCATCTTCACGGCTCTTTTCTGGACCTGATCCAAATGCTGTCTTTTCTGTGCTGGGAGACACAGTATACCAGAAGGGGCCTCGTGAGGGCAGAGCAGAGTGGGACAATCACATCCATGTCCCTGCTGCCACCCCTCTTCTGATGCAGCCCAGGATGCTGTTGGCCTTCCAGGCTGCCAGCGTACACTGCTGGCTCCTGCCATGTTTTTCATCTACCAGGACCCCCAGGTCCTTCTTGGCAGAGATGCTCTTAAGGAGTACAGTAGTGTGTGTAATTCACTATAGCACTGAAATTTTCTGTAGGCTGTAAAATCGTTGATGTAAATATCATCAGATAAATACATGCTATCATTTTTTGGTTTGTTTCACAATTGTGCTGGTGGTGAGGTGACTTGAAGGGTTTTCTCCAAATCTGTTGGAGCTGAAGAAATGAGATATGTCCAGCTGTAGCAAGAGACTGTGTTAATTTAGTTAGCTACTCAGTCACTGAAAAGGATTCTCACTGACTTTTTTATGGGCCTTTAAGAGTAAGTGTGAGCTACTATTAATAATTAGGGAACATCTCTGGAAGAGAGATGTCAGCTGGAATTCAGATCTTCTGTGGTAAAGAAGGAAGATTGCAAACATGCAACATTAAGGCATGGATAGATTAAAAATAATAATTTTTAAAAAGCACTGAAACACTGAGGAATACAACACTCCAGTAAAAATGCCGTGCTCCCTATGGTTCACTTATGAAGGACTGATGAGGTCTCTTAGAAAAATGCTCTTTAGGTGATATAGTGACCAACTTCCTCTCCTGTGCATAGCCTGCTTAGGGAGGGAGTCTTTGAATAGCTTCTGCCTTTGTGAACAATCATATTTTCATTTCCATTCTGACTGACTGGATGCAGAATTGCAATGTGAGTTGGTCCTTCAATGTGCGGGGAATTTACGAAAGAAACCATTGCTATATGCAGGGCAGTTGCTCTGAGTTTTTTAGGGTTTTAGCTCAGAACCTGAACCTTCATTTTTTTTTCTAACCCCCCTCCCAGGTGGTACTGTCTCCTGGGCCTGATTGGAAAGTGTGGGGTCTCAACTACAAAAGGTTACTATAGCAGTGCATACAGAGGAACGAGCATTTCTCTTCTCAGCAGTGGAACCACTTGTGATAAGTAAACTTTTGGGGGGACCTTCACAAGCTATTCCTCTGCTGTGCATGATGTACAGGTTGTAGCAGAGCCTCTCCTTATAATGATGTCTATCCTAGTGCTGTGAACACTTCTCATACATTTGAAAGAGAGTCACAACAAAAAATAAAACAGAGGATGCTTTCCTGAAAATGTATGTTGAGTTTACATTGAGTTACAACTGAGAATGATGGATTTTGTGCCCCGTCAAAGCAGACTTGAGCATCTTTTAGTAAAAAGTTGGCTGAAAACATGCATTATTTCTCAACAGTGGCAGCCCTAGTTGTTGTTATATCACTGAAATAGTGGTGTTCTGAGTACATAAGGGTGAGAAATAGCTCAGTGTCTACATGAATGGGAAAGGCCATAGAAAGACTGGTAGCTTTGTTTCCTAGTATTTCAATTCAGTAAAAAATTAAATGGAAAAGGTATGTTTTGCTGCTATTCCATTTCATTGCTGTTGAAATGTGCCTTGGTTGCCAAGGCTGGATCCTGACCCATGTGGGCTGGAGAAATTTTCATCCTGTCTTACCTTTGCCTTTCAAATATCTTCTTTGTTTACCTTCAAATGGAGAGGCATTACATGCTCATCCTAAGGAGGCTGGTTAAATGATGGAGAAGGTGCTTTACCCCCATTCCCTTTTTTTCTGCCTAAATAGAAAAATTTTAAAAATGCTGGTGTTTAGCCTCTTGGCAAAAGAAACGAGAAAGTCAGCACTCAGCTACATACATGTTGCTTAGTGGAGCTGTCTGCTTTGATAAGTGATCAGACTTCCCTATGTTTGACTTGATGTAAAAACCTGCCCTAATTTCACAGTAGTAGGAAAATCGTTTTTCGGCTTTGCTCCATATATTCTAGACTAATCCATGTGTTATTGTTGAAGAAAATCTCCACCGTTTTTATTTTCTGTGTCTCTGAGAAGTGCATTCGGTGCTCAACTAGGTTGTGTTACAGCTCACTCCTGCTGCTGCTTTAAATATTGTACCTGCATATGTGAATTTTTTTTTTTTAATGGAGGAAAATTCCCTGTTTAGTTTGCAAGTTGTGTGTCAAATGGAGGGAAATAGCATGAAATGCTTCACATCCATTTGTTCTGAGCAGACTGAATCCTAATGTAACTTTATTGTAGTGTTAATGTCATTTTCTTGAAATTACTTTAATGTTGTAACGTACTTGGTGGCAAAAATAAACAATTTTGCTGTCTCTGGCAGATATTCTGTTGAGACCTAATAGTTCACAAAACACACTATTAATTCTAGTGACAATTGTCTGTTCTACATTCTTCCTTCTTTGCAGTGCACCAAGAGATCTCTAGTGATGGGATGAGCTGGTCTATCCTGGGCCTTCCTGTAGTCTCTTACCTTGACTCTGGAGAGTACATTTGTAAAGCAAAGAATTTCCTGGGGGCAACAGAAGCATTCATATCCCTAATCATCATGGACTCAGAAAGCACGGATGACCCCAACTCCAGCGCCAAAGGCACGTGGAGTGGGAAGGCAAGCGGGATGGAGGCAGCTGCCTACAATGACAAGTTAGTGGCAAGGTATGTTATCACCACCTCCACCATGCCTACCCTAGGGGCTGGAGCAGGAGCAGGAGAGGATCTCCTCATCCCAGCTGGAGCACAAGATAGCAACCAAAACCTACTGGTGAGCCCACCTACTGGTCAGCAGGAGCCAGAGCGAATTGTGAGATCTGTCAGGGTGATAGGAGATACTGACCAGAGTGTCACCCTGGCCTGGAAGGCACCTCTGGCGAAGAACACGACAGTGTTCAGTGTCCTCTATGCTGTCTTTGGAGAGAGAGACATGCGTCGGATCAATGTGGAACCAGGGAAGACCAAGGTCAGCATTTATGGGCTGCTACCAAAGACCAAATACATAGTGTGCGTCTGTGTGAAAGGGCTGATCCCTAGGAAGGAGCAGTGCATCATATTTTCCACAGATGAAGTTGCTAGTGCAGGAGGGACCCAGAAACTCATCAACGTGGTTGTCATCAGTGTGGCTTGTGTCATTGCCGTTCCTCTGACGCTGGTTGTCTGCTGCGGAGCACTGAAGAGACGCTGCAAAAAGTGCTTTGTGAGGAAACCCAAGGAAATTCAGGAGTCCTATGTCACCTTCGAAAGTCTTTCTCCTGGGGCCAAGGTGAAAGGAGTGGAAGGAGAATACTTAACTAGACATACCCCCGATGAGTCTAACAGGCTCCTCTCTGCCCGATCCAGTGTGGACTCCGAAGCAATACCAAAGATAGAGGGGCAACCAAACGAATACTTTTGCTGATGGTTACTAGGCTGGTCATTGCTTGTTAGATGGAAAGCGTGTGGCTGTATATATGACTGTGCTCCAACACTGCATGCCATTGTGTCAATGCATGTGTCTCAGACGTATTCTGGAGGAGGATGCAAGAAAGTAGAAGATGCCCAGACTTTATAGGAATGTGTTGTTTGACCAGCTGGGGTTTGATGTTTTGTACTCAATCAAAATCTTCTGTGCTAACGGTCTCATTCTCTTGGACCATTCTTATTTTCATAAAATGATGCATGCACACTGAGTGTGAGGACATTAAGCAACACTTTTGAGCATGCTCTGCTCAGTGCTGTTTAGTACCTGCTCTGAAATATGCTAAGTGTTTTATTTGCAGCTCTTTTATGGTTCTTTGGTTTACAAATTGGGGAGTACTTGATAATTTTAGTACAAATACCTGTGAATGTGAAGATAGAGTCTTACCTTTTATGCACCACATATTTGCGTGAAACAGGCAAATTCATACTTAACAGATAGCTAAATACGACTGTTTGTAGTACATCTAACAATAGTTTTATATTCTCAGTTCAAAGAAATGTGCAAAGAGATATGACTTGAGACAAAAACAATCGACTCCTAAGAACACGTAAGAGAGTAAGTTTGAGAATGGCATTTTGACCCTAACCACTGTTCTTCTTATCACACAATTGAAAAACACTACCATGCAGACCTTTCAGTATCAGACCTAGCTGTTATTTTCTAGCAGTGCTGTAATTAGTACAGTATGATTTGTATTAGCTATGCTACTTAAAAATCATACAGTAGCCTCTTCTGCAAATTATGTGTGGCATTGTTATGTTTTGTACTGCAAAACCTACGTTAGATAGTTCTGTAAAAATCTCCCAGAGCAGCCCTGTCATTGCTCCTGGCTGTAATGGTAAAACTGGTAGTGAAGATCAGAAGGCTTAGCTGAGCGCTTGTGGTTCAGCCTTGCTCTGTGTAGAGCAGAGGTGTGTACTGCTGACTGGGCACACTGCTGCAGTACTTCTGCTGTGGCAGCAATGGTGGCAAAGGCTCCATGCTGGTATTTGGGTTTCAAACATTTTGCAAGTTTGAGAACAAAAGAAGAAAAAAGGCTAATATTTGTCTAAACGTATTCTACTAACCACGGTTTGCTGATCAGTTATTTGTTACTTAAGTCCTGCAATTCTGCAGGAATTTGGATCTGAATACTTATCACAAAGCACTTAGCTGTGTAATTTTTCACTCCTGTCCTTTAGGTTGTAATACTGTATATAATGGCTTTCTGTACATAATAAATATAAAGAAAATACTGCAGGATCTGCCAAATGTTGAATGGGAGGGAACTAACCAAGCTGAAATGATAACTGGTGAAGCCTCAGTCTTTTGGAATCGATTTGAAACGTATGCTTGTAAATGTCCTGGAAAGATCTCCACTCACATTCTGGATGTGTACATACAATGTGGATTTGCAAAATTCAGTACTTGGAATAATGCTCTGTATTTTGCAAGCCCTTCCTGTCCTGAAGGATTTCTGTGATGTCAGACTACTTGACCTGACAGAAAAAAACCCAAGTCATTTGATCTCAGCATAAATGCTAGTAACAGAGAGCACGTTACAATGGTTTCTAATATGGCTCCCTGTCCTCCTTACATTCATGAGAAGGAACTTCTCTTGCACTGGGAGAATTTTTCAGTCCCTCTATATAGCAATTCATGCTGCTGCATAGATTTTTATGTTTACAAATAACCTTTTTCAAAATGTATTTTAACACGATAGATCAATTGATGAAATAGGTAGTACCTAATAGATCTATTATTTATTTATACATTTATATTTCCCAGGATTGATTTCAAGTGTCATTCTTCAAGGTGGATTAAAAATGTTGTTCCAGTAGCAGTTTTTTGTATGGGTTGAAAGGATTGTTGTTTTTCTCAACCCAATTCCTGCCCTCATCTGTAGTGGTGTTGCTTCGGGCTGTGCAGAAATCAGCAAGGAGCCCAGCCTAGCACGGGTGGCTAATTTTTAGTATTGAAAAATCAAGGCTGTCCTGAAGCTCTCCTGCGGTGAATGGAGTGGCCCTGCTGCCCAAGGGCTTTCCCACAAGTGAGGTTTGCAGCCGTCTGGGAGTGAGATGTATTTACCTTTCAGCTGCCTGAAGGCAGGAGCAGGGTAATTTGCCACACCTAGTCCTGGCTAAGAACAGCCCTTATCCACTCCAGGGCAACCACAGTGATAAAGGCACTGGTTGAGTTAGTCCCATCAGTCCTTACCCGTGGGGATGGGAAGGACAGGTCATCCCATGGCCTTCCTTGTGGATGTGTTAAGCTTTAGACTCTACTGGATATTTTTGCACTTGGAATAAATAGCAATCCCAAGTAGAATAAATGTGATTTTTCATTTCTATTTCCTATGGTGATTCTCACTGTCCTGTAAGTGATGCAAAATGCTTTAGCAGCTCAGCTGCTGCTCCAAAACCAGAGTATCTGTACCAGACTGGTTATTCACACAAGGTAGGCAATAGATTGAAACATGTGTAAGCCCTGTGTTCTGCGGTGTCATACTTTGCTAAACTGTATGTGGAATTTCAAACTGTTACAGGTAAACTGATTTTCTGCAGAATGGATGGCTGGCAGATTTCAAAACTGTGAATGGGATCTGCAGTTGTATGAGGCAAGTGAAAATGCAAATAAAAACCTCATCGCACTTTTCTGTTTCTTTAACCCATGGGTGTTAGGGACCTCTTTCCTCTTTCAGCAGGATCAGGTGTAGGTGTGTGATGTTCTCTGGTCACTGCACACCAAACAGAGATGGCTCAGAGCTCATCCCTGGGAACAGCTTCTTACTTGGTTAGGGTCAGTCCTTGGACAGAAGTGCTGTAAGGACCGTTTCCGTGCTCTCCCCTTCCTCCCCCCCTCCTATCCTCACTTTAATGTTTTGGTTTTCTTGGTGCAAAAGTGAAATATTAAGATAAGGTGTCAAAAAGAACATGATAGTGTTTTAAAAATGGATCCAAATAGCTCTGAATTGCACTGAAAAAACTGGTTTTAATCAAAAGACTCTTGAGAAGAGCAGCTATCAGAATGAAAGAAGTAAGCAGAATATAAAGGAAGTAATATGACAAAAGTGATTAAAAAGGAGTACTGCAAGTAGTTGAAGTACATTGGAAGAAAGGTAAAAAAGTAGATTAAGGCTTTGAAAAACGGTTTTGCAAACATGTTCAGAAAGTGCCCAGGTTGTCTGATGAGCAGACCCAGAAGAAGAATAGTATGTGCTCTGAACTACAAAGTCTCTGCAAATGTTTTCAATGGAACATATGCATAAAAATTCCACAGGTGCAGAATAATGTCCTGGCTGATAACCACGTCATTTCCATACAGTGATTTAAATGTATTGGAGGGCTGGTGGCCTCCTTGCCTGCCCACTGTGAGACCTGCTAGGGTCAGTGATGTGTCAGGAATCCCAGAGGGATGCTGTCAGTGTTGTTGGGTTACTGAGAAAATGGGGAAAGTTTTGCAGGTTTGTACAGCTGCTGTTGAAGATTCATGAAAGAATTTACCTCTTCTTTTTCACATCACTGTCCTCTTTTCAAAAGCTGCTTTTCCAGCCCTGTGCCATTTGGTGTTAGACGCACCATGTCTGAAATAACTAACTGCAGCCTTCACCTCATTTGCCCTCCCTAGCAGGGATTTCTAGCTGTGATAACCCTGGTAAAGGGCCTCTAATTGTAAAGCATTGGCCTTAACTTGATTTCTTACAGATGCACGTGCCCATCATTTCAAGACAACTGTTTGGATCCCTTTCTGTTGCTGGAGGCATGCGAGGGGCTTCCCTTCAGCATTTGCTTTGGAAATGAGCATGATCTCTTAAACTCTATTTCCCATGGATTAGCATACAATATCTCTATTGAAATTTATTTTGACAGCTTGGGTTTTAGACAGTTTGTTCTGCATTTTGGCTTCAATCGTGATGCCACATGACGGTAAAGAACAGCTGAACTGAGTGGACATCTGCTGCCACAAAAGTGGCCATTAAATTTACAGGCAGGCATAAACTCGGCTGAATTGAAGATGCGACAAAATCTCACTCCAGTAGGGAGCATAAGCATAAAGGCTGTGGCTAACACTGTTTGGAGGATGTACACTCTTTCCTCCTCTCCCAGTCTCTACCCTGTAGTGTGGTTACTCTCTACCCATCAATTCATCTTATTTTGATATATAATTCCTCTGTAGTTCCTCAGGTTAATACTGAACCTTCTGAGCACACTTGGGAATTTTGGAAATTATTTGGGAATATTTAAATGGCCTCTCAAATAGCAAATAAACATCAACTTTAAAACAGCCAGTGCATTGGCCCGTGGTACTGGCAGACAGCTCTGCTTGAAAGGCCGCTTCTCAGCCTCATAGGAAATAGGTGGGACTGGGAGAAGTGGAACCAAGAAAACAACCGCAGCTTCTCATCAACAGTCCCCAACCCAGCTGTATTAGAGGTTGAACTTTGATGACTCATGAAATGAGCATTTCCTAGAGCATTTTTCTCAATGAGTGCCATTAAGACATTGTTTTTTGTTGTTTTTTTGGTGGTTTTTTTTTTTGCCTCATCTGAAAGTGTTTCCCTACTTGCTTCTGCAGTGCACATAGGCTTGTTCCTGATGCCCAACTCTTTTTTGGTATGTTACTACTATTATTACCATGTAATATTATCAGCAGCTATAATAAATTGTAAAATTACAAAATTATTACTATAGCATTATAATAACATTGTTCCATTAGGAGTTAATTCCATGGCAGACTACAGGACAGGACTTCAAGCACAAAGTGCCTGTTGTGTTCACTTTCTTAGATGCTCATGCCTACACAAAGTAGGCCCATGGAGTTTTGAGGCTTCAGTTCCCATGGCCAAGACCACTGTGTGACACAACTTTTTATCGCTGCTACCAGTGTGAATCCTTCAGCCCTCCTGGTTCAGCCAGCAAGCCCCAATGACTGGTGACCACTTTGCCACTTAAGCCATA